AAACAAATAAAATTTAATAATTTAAAAAAAAAAAAGGAAGAACTCAAAGAACTCATTAATGTCAAGTCGGAATCAACTGACTGCTGAGCCTCCAGCAGGTTTTCAGAGAAGGCTGCCCATCTTTCTCCCATGGAGCTGCTGGTGGATTCCAATCACCAGAAAGGCACTGCCTTTGAGTTAAGAGCAAAACTTGCTACAGACTACTCCACTAGAACTCTAAACTCATTGCCAACAAGCTGCAACCAATCTACAGCTGAGTCATCAGCAGGTTTTCAGAGGCTATAAATCACAAGAAGGGAGATTGCCTACCTTTATTCTGCAGAGCTAGTGGTGCAACTGACCCACCAGAGTGTTGCCACTTTTGGATAAGCAGCACAACTCCCTATGGACTACACCACCAGAGAAAGAAACAGAAAACATAAAAGATCCAAGACTCTATGGCCAGTTTGGCAGGTAAGATGGAAAAGTGTCAAAAATCAGGTGATTACTAACCCTAAATGAGGCAGATAAGACAAGTAGACAGAGGGCATAAATGCAAACAGAACTCTTAAGTAAAAGGTAAAATATCCTTGGGCCTGGTGGGTTGTTCCTTCTTCACCACAGTGTAGCCCACAATACACCACAGGGCCTGGAACTCACCAGGAGATGACCTGCACTAAAGGTTGAGTATTTCTCTAGGGTGAAACTAAGTCCTAACTTCAAACCAGCCTCTAAATTCCACCTCAACTTTCAAACTGAAGTTATTTGATTTCATCTTTGAAAATTTTTCTACTTTAAGAAAATTGAGATATTACAGGGTTAGGAAGCATTCCTCAGATTAAATTGGCCAAATTAATATTCTAGTTCTGTCAGTTTTCTTGCACAGTATTTCTAAAGACCTCAGGAACTTTCTGGGTAATAGTGGGGGAAGCATCTCCCAAATCGCGACACTTACCCCAGTGTTGTTGAGCGCGGCTCACCAGGAAGGGTCTCATCTGGATGAGGCGGGTGGCATAAATGTGTGCATACTGCCGGTTAAAACTGCGCTCCCCAAGTCGGAAGGGCTGTGAGGAGTTAGTGTAGGCCACCACTGGAACTCGTGCAAAGGTGGGGGTGTTGGATGATAGTGGAGACAGCAAGGTGGGGGCCTTCTGGGCAGCCTGCTCGGAGAACATTGCAAATCTTCTGCCTTGTCTGATCTTCGCTGTTACCCCAAATAGAGAAGATGGTCCTGCAAAGACATAAGTGGATTCCTGGGATCCCTTCTTGTCTGCAGGGTAGTAGTGCCACTGGTGTCTCAGACTCCATAGCCTGCTCCACATCTCACTGGGGCCCTCAAAGTCGGCCCATCCTGCTCTCCAAAGCCTGCTCCAGCTCAAAGCCAGATGGCTGTCTTTTATTGCATACACAAATATATCAAAGACAGTATTAAATAGCAGGAGTGGCATCCACTTCCTAAACACCACGCCTCTGCAAACTCTACGAACTTTGATAAATGATCATAGTTACAGAAAGGCTTCAGACCGTTTGTTCATAGGGTCACAATGAGCTGTGCTCAACTTCATGGCAATCAACAACAACAATATTATATAGCCAATGACACAACCCTGCTTGCTAAAACTGAGGAGGATCTGAAGTGCTTATGGCAGAAGGTCAAGGACCACAGCCTTCAATATGGATTGAAGCTTAACATCAAGAAAACAAAGATTCTCGGTGAGCTCTGGTGGCTTAGTGGCAAGAAGCTGCATTGCAATCCCACAGGTGTGTGGTTCAAATCCACGAGATGCTCTGCTGGAGAAGGAGGAACAATCTCCTCCTGTACCAGTCAAATCTGATTTGACGGTACTCACACACATAAATAATAAAAATAAATATAAAAAAAGAAAACAAAGATTCTCACCA